TCACTCGAAGTACGGGGAATGGATAATTTCTGATGCCTTTGCCCTCAGAAATGAGGATCTAAACATGTATCGAAGTCACTAGTTAGAGGCTGCAATCAAAGAATCCTTGTCAGAGGGCTGCAGTCATCCTACTCCAATGAAGGTGATATTACCTTAGGGATGCTAAATTAAAGGCTGCACGGTGTATACTCACCAATTCTCCTTGGCTGGGTTAATGTCAACCATGCTAAGTATGGATAAGTGTACCCTTGGTGTACCAAGAAGCCTTTGTGAGGGTTTAGATGGCTTAATAATGTTTTATTGCTGATTCATTCAAGGACTTGAAACTATTAAGCCACTAATAACTAATTGCACAGAAAGAAGAAATTTCTGATGTCAATTAGGAGCTGCTAGGGTACTCGTGGAAACTAAGACAATAATGATCGAAGCCCCCATACTGACTTCAGATATTTTAATAGCCTCTAAAGCACGTTGAGATGCTTTGGGGCTGGGGACTGGAGGTGGTTTAAACCAAAAGGTCAACTCCTTGTATTCTTTAGTGAAAAGTAAAATGGGGTCAAGATAAAAATTTCCCATTTATGATTAGCAATTGGATTCCATGGTCCATGGTCTGCCTTATTGGAGACATTATTTCTTGCCATAATAGTTTGTATTATATTCAGACCATGATCAACTAATTTTTGATCGCTCTCATGAACAATTGAACCTTTCTGGAATATTGAGTGGGTGATGCCATTTTTAGACTAAGTTTACTCTATTGTTTGTTGGAACCTTGGGTTACTGATGATAAGAATTAAAAGTTTGATTGGCTATAATTAAAGTTTCTCTGAAAATGCTTTATTGATTCTAAATTAAATGTTATAATTGGTACACTTTAACTAGTATAATTTTGTGTACACATTAAAAGTTTAATCGCCTGATTTCAGAATGGGTAGTTTATACCGCACACTAGTTGGAATGCTGATTCTAATACCGATTCAGGATGTCTTTATAGATTGCGGATTAAATGTTTTCATAATTAGATTAGTTTGCTAAACTTGGTTCGAGTTTTTAATTCCCGGACATTGAAATTTTTGATTCGCTCTATACAGCACTAGTTGGAAGATTGATTCGAACATCAAATTACCGAATAGTTTTAATGATCGTGGATTTAAATTTTAACCACCAGATTAGTTGGGTGAAGTTGATTAAGAGTGTTTAGTTGGCAAACCTTACACAATTTTTTTTATTGTACATATGCTTAAATTACAATGCTCAAATTTGATGGGCTGACCGGTATTCTGTGCACATATATTTATGGCAATAAAAAAAAATGTACAAGGTTTGCCTACTAAACATTCTAATCGACTTCACGCTACTAATCTTATAGCAAACCTTACACCTTAATAATATTTTATTGTTGATTTCAAACAGTAGATATGTGCACTGAGTACCGGTCAGCCCATCAAACTTTAAGCATGGTAATTTTTAATTTACAATATTAGAACTATTAAGATATTTTTTGACAAACCTAACTAACCATCATAGTCATGATAAATTAAGATTTAGGAGTCTAATTGATAAATGGTTTCCTGCTTGTAAGAGTAACTGAAAATTTAACCCCTGATCATTCAATAAATTTTAGATGTAAATTGATGTCCCAAGTATAAGCATACGTTTACTGAAAGGTATTTAAATGGTGAAGATGATGCAGACAATGTCAAAGAATTCGATTTGATATAGACTTTATACATATTTGGTGTAAGGCATATTTTGCGCACTGATAGGACAGCTAGTGTTCTGATTTCTAGATATTAACAGCCATTGCAAATGACTATTAGAGGCAGCGAAAGTCACTCAATAAAAAGATAACTTCTCCTCACACCAAATATGTAGAGGGTGTCACAACTCTCACATCCACCCTTTAGTCCATCCTTAAGGATCTACTATTATTTATGAGACTCTGGAGGCAGGAGGAAACCAATTTCTGCTCAACGCCTTCAAAGGAGAAGTCATCTCCAAAATTTGAAGCTGCCCAAGCATCAAGATAATAGCTTTTCGAACAAACGCGATGGAACTGCATCAAGGTCCCTAAATCCAGTAATCAATGTTTTAACATTGCATATGTTCATTATTTATCCTTAGACATTAGAAACCATGCAAATTAATGGTGCGGTGGGCTCTAAACCTTGAACTGCATTAGCACATGGGTTTGACAGGATCGTGCACTGTTCAGTGGGTAGAGCTAGTAAAGCCAGTGGAGTGACAACACATTGATAAGCTGTTTGGTGCACTGGAGGTAGTAAATTCCAGTGGAGGTTTGACAACAAAGTGGGCTATGGATGGGTTGGGGCCAATAAAATTGGAGTGATAGTTTCTTGATATGCTATTTGGTGGGCTAGAGCCAGTACAACTGTGGTTTGTTTGATGGTACCGAAAGCAGCTCGGTAGGTCAGGGGCAATAAACTCGGTGGAGAAGGGATGGTGTTTTGACAAGCCGTTTGGTGCACCAGAGCGAATGAACCCAGTGGAGGTTTCACGGTATAGTGAGCTGGTTTGATGGCCCTGAGTCAATAAATCTAGAGTAGTGATAGCGTCTTCATATGATGTTTTGTGGACTGGTGCCCGTAAAGCCAGTGGAGGTTTGATGGTACCCTGAGAGTATCGGTGGGCCGGAGCCAATAAAGTTGGTGGAGTGATAGTGTTCTGATTTGTAGTTTGGTGGGATGGAGCTAGTAAATTCGATGGAGGGGTGACAACACTCAGACATGTTATTTGGTCGGTCAAGGCTAGTAAAACTGGCGGTGGAGTGATTGCTCAGAAGCAATTCGGTTATTAGCCATGTAGGCATTGGAATGACTGATAACTCAAAATGCTATCTGGTGTCTAGGGCTGTGAACGCCTGGAAGGACTCTTGGGATAGTGGATATTATATAGGAGCTGAACCACTCAAATTGTGTATTTATTTCGTTTATGTGTTTCCTTATTCCAATAACCTAAACAATTTTTTGCACCATAGAAAATTAAATAGTTGATCTATTTCTGTCATTTAGATTGCATATTGTAATCTTGTATGCAATGTTCTCAACCATATCTTGCATATTTCTGTCTACACAATATTGATAAACTATCTTCATCTTAAATGTAGGATAGAAACAAGCCACCCATTTCTCAACCCATAAAGTCAGGAGATTTAACCCTGACGATTACAGCCTATTTTACTAGGAATCAAAATTTGGAAGCAGTACTGTGTCTATTTCCCCTCCTTTAGACAACATTAGCCATCTTCTGGTACTTCATTTCTAACATTCAAATAATTGGATTTGATAGGTTAAGGAGACCAATGCGGACTGCCTTGATTTTTCGACTTTAATGTAGAACGAAAAGGTGAGCAGACTACGGAGTATTCTTATTTTAGGTTAAAGAAGGATGCCTATTTTAGAAGATTCAATTTTGCACTAGTGTCATTTTAATTAGCAATTTTGTTATTTGGGAATTACATGCAAGTGGGTTAGCTCAATATTTTGGTCCAAAAAGGACTATTCAGTAACTTGATGAATTGTTTCTTGGACCTGCCTCTGAAGAGATCTTGGACAGTTAACCTCCAAATGCCATGCATTCACCTCTCCCCACTAACAAAGCAAATGTGCTACATTTGCATAGATTTTGTAATGGGCCTACCACTCCTTAGAGCTAATGGCTCCAGGTGGCGCATCCCTCTTATGTTCTAAAACTTTTGATGCATCTAGGGTTGCAATGGTTTATATTGATGACGTTGTTAAGCGTCATGGATTCATTAAGATTTATCTGTTAGATAGGGATGTGAAAGTCATGATTTATCTTTTAAAGATCTTTTTGTCACTTGTTATACAAGAAGCACAAAATCCCTACTGTTTATCACCCCCCAAAAACATGCACAAATGAAAGTAGTTAATCAAAGCCTGGGAAATCTCCACTTTTACTTGGTGATTTTCCTGCGAGTTGGGATCTGATCCTTCGACATGCTACATCTGCACGTAATAGCTCCACTAATGGTGGATGTCCCCAGGACACTTAGTATTGTAGAGGGAGAGGGAGTTAATAGATTTGATCGTCACTAGTCCTAAATATTGATTTTTGATTCAAATCACTGTAATCTTCCAGGTTAAGCCTTCTAATTTAGTGGTGTATTTCTACTTTGTCGTTAGAGATGGAGCGAAATCAATGCAAACACAATGAACCAGTTACTGTATACAAGCCGAATTAGAAATCCAGCCGAATTAGATTAACTATTTTGAAACTTTCTTTTTGGTTGGAAACTATTGTAAAGGTTAGAGATAGACATGAAATACACAAGTAGGATGCGCACACCGAAACTAACTACGATTCAGCTCTTATACAAAACTGATTTTGCCATGCATTTTTTTTTTCGATTGCCATGCAATTTCTAGATGATTCTTTTGAGTAACTATGACCATATCTTGCGTGAGTTTCAGCTGGTTTCATCTCTTGTCCCGTCCTGCATCAGTACCAACCTAAAAGGCTTAGATTACATACACTGTTAGAAGATACGTTTACTTGGTTACTACTAATCTGATGAGTACCAAGGGGAGGTTAATGAAACTTATATGTTCTAGGGTCGAACTAAATAACTAAAAGGCTTTAGTATTCTTTGTGCCAGTTTTTGACTCGTAGATGTGCCATCCTCATTCTTAATTTATATAGAAAAAATATTCACCCTTATTTTCATGGCATCTTACCTAGCTTGGATCCAACCAGCTGCATTAGAAAACTTTCCAAGTTTTGAAAGAACAAGTCTGGTATGCATACAACCAACAAAACATTGTCCACTGAGCACAATCCCATAACTCATCATTCAGTGTTTTAAAATATGAATCTCACCGGAAGGCTAAGCCTACTGTTCATATCGTTGGTTGCCATATGGAGAAATAGGGTGAAAGCGAGTCAACAAAATATTCTTCCATTTTATGGAAAAAAGAAACATTCAAACACATCATGGCGGAATATCTGAGCATCTCCCTCTATCTGCCCTCCATCACTGTGTTTGTCACTCCATTCCCAGTGTACTGTAGGAGCTCAACTGCTGTAGAGACAGTTGCGTGCTTGGGACTCCTGAACACAACAAAGCCCGGCCTCCTGGGTTCTGGGAGTGGAAATGTTTCACTGGACAACATCATGGCCACGGTGGCCATGGTGGGCCTAACCACAGCTCGTTCTTGCACACACAACAACGCAACATGTATGCATCTCAGTACTTCAGATACTGGGCAAGTACCGCTTGGTGCATCATCAAGTAATTCTGCACATTTGCCCTCCTTCCATAGCCCCCATGCCTGAAACAGTAATGTGATAAAGCATGACCTTTTCTGTAGGTTGACGTTGAAAGTCAGCGCATTTTGTCTGACTACAGCGTTGGTCAATCCTAGACGACTTTAAAGAACAGAGTAAAATAAAAAATGACTAAAGAACTAGATATTATTTGTGCTTTCTTTCTACCTTTGATAGTAGACTTTCATGTGGCTCAGTAATGTATTGACCACGATTCCTGACTCCGCATATGATCTCCAGCACAAGAACCCCAAAACTGAAGACATCCGACTTCATTGAGATGACCCCATCGATCGCATATTCTGGAGACATGTATCCGCTGTTCAATGGCCACCAAACCCAGAAACAATGCAGTCAAAACTTTTGATACTGCCCATGGATTTTCTGCCTTTCTAACAAAAATGTATAGATCAAGACAAGAATGTGATTCTTTATAAGCATGATCGATGAAGAACTTACTATGTACCGATGATCTTCCTAGTCTTGTCCAGCATCTGATCTGCACCGAAGATCCTTGCAGTCCCAAAGTCCGATATCTTGGGGGTCATTGCTTCATCGAGGAGGACGTTCCAGGCCTTGAGATCCCTGTGTATGATTCTCGACCCCGAGTCATGGTGGAGGTACTGGAGTCCACGAGCGATGCCCATCACGATGTCCAGGCGAGTTCTCCATCCCAGAACAGCGCGTTTCTGTTCATCTAAGTTCATCATGTTTTCAATTCGTTCGATTAGAAATTTGATGGAACCCCCAGAGAAATGCCAAGCTCTCTGAGGTAAATAAATCACAGGTATCCATGGGCCATTCGAAGTACGGAAATCTTGGATCTTGGAGAGCTTCAGATCGTCAATAGTTACCGAAAATGAAGGCATCCAGGCTCTTGTTCTTCATGTACTCGTAGATGAGCATCTTCTCTTCTCCGGCAATGCAGCAACCCAGGAGCTGGACGAGATTCCTGTGCCTGAGTCTTGCCAGGGACTTGACCTCGTTGGTGAACTCGCTTTGCCCCTCGACAGAGACTCTCGTCAGCCTCTTCACTGCGACCTCTCGCCCATCAGCCAGGATTCCCTGCGATTTCTTCGTCTCCATATCAGATCGCCCATAGAGATTCCATTGGCCAACGGCAGAGGGATACCTTGTAGACGACCCCAAAGCCCCCTTCTCCGATTATATTAGCGGGCGAGAAATCGGACGTCGCCGATACAACAGTCTCCAAGGCGAACAGCGGCAGCTCTTCTTCGTTCTTCTTGACTGTTGCGCGGATGCGGTTCTTGTCTGTGGCAGAGTGGGCAACTTTCGCGAACCAATTCGAATCAGAATGATACAAAACGAAGAAGGAATTTCTTGACTTGTTGCAGCAATTCAACGTCATCTAAGCGAAGGCAGACGAGGAGGCCCGCCGTGAAAATTCACCTTCGGTGTTTGTGTTCGTCCTCTTCTTCAGGATGCAGCAGCAGACCAAGGACAGGACTACTCCCGGGAACAGAATGGACGGGACCAGAATCGTGACCTTCTTCGGCACTTTTGCTCTCCTAGGAGGCTCTTTCACTTGATGCGCGGGCACATGTTGCATATCGTCAACGGTCATCAAACATGAGTCGGAGAGAAAAACCCACCATTTATATTACAAAATGGCCGGAGAAGAGGTGACTTCTTCGCGAGAGATGTGGGGGTGTACCGAGAGAAGAGGCCGGAACTCGTATGTACAGGTCCTGCACCTTTGTGTCCAAGATTCTGATGTCCAGAAGATCGCCGAGCCAAGTGATGCATCCCCCGCGGTCGTCGGTGACATTGGCGCTGGCGTAGGCCGTGCAGGAGCAGTCCTCCGCGCACTTGTGCCGGCACTCTTGGAGAGTCATGTTCCTGTTCACCATGGCGTTGATCAAGTGGGGCAGCTTGAGCTGCGGCATCAGAAGGAACCCGTCGCCGCCGCTGTCATTGCCGCTGCAGTCGGGGATCGTCTGGCGGACGCAGCCGCTGCTGGTGTTCTGATTGTTCCACTCGCGGGGATTCCGCGGCGCATAGCCTTCCAGGCACCCACAGACGGGGAAGGTGCTCATATTGCATATGCCAAAGGCTCCACAGTTGGCGAACCTGTCGCATTCGTCCACCGGCGAGTAGGTGAAGCTCTTCCAAGTGCTGGTTTCCACCTCGAAGAGCAGCCTCTGCACCACGCCGTTGGGACTCAGGTTCAAGATGGACACCGTGGTGTTAGTGTTCATCTCGAATCGGTAGTCCGCCTGGTCTCCCGTGGTTTCCACGATGAAGAGGACGATCGGGTTCGGTTGCATGTAGGGAACGCCAATGAAGCGGAATCCATTGAAGTGGCCTGTGCTGTACCTCAGCCTCGAGCCTTCGTACATGAGGAGGCGAGGTAGAATGGTGAAGTCCATCTTGAAGGTGTACATCCCCGGAGAAGGGTCGTTGGGGCTCTTCCAAGATGTGAGGTACCTGCCGGCCATGATCCTCATGCCCGGGAGCATCACGTGGTCGGGATCCTCTATGCTTTGCCACAGAAGACCCTGCGGAAGGCCCTTTTCGCTGTCTCTCAGTACGAGGTTGCCCGAATCGAGAAGCTCCGCGACTGCGTTGACGCCAGGATCGGGCGAGCCGCGCGTTGACCAGATGGGTTCCCCATCTTGTCTGTCGAGGAGAAGGAGCCTCCCCCGTTCGTCTATCAGTAAAACTCCAGTGGAATTGTCCAGGGGCTTCTCCCTGTTGGCCACCCAGACCACCGCCTGTGGCTGGGGGTTCTTGAACCAGATGCCCAGATACCTTTTCTTGGAGCTGCCGGGGCTGAAGAAGCCCATCTCGAAGATCTGCCTGGCGGAGAGGATGGTCTCGCCATCCCGTAGATACTTGCTCCGGCTGATGGGCGCCGCCGCTGTGGAGGCTGCTAACAGGAGGGAGACGAGAAAGGGAAGCATTTTGTGGAACTGTCATGTCCCTTCCATCTCACTAGCACAAGCGTGCTTTACTCCCTGGCGGATTTCAAAAGCCCTGCGCGTCCTCAACAACGGTTGGATAGCTACCATCAGTGTCCCTTCCATCCATGGAAATAACACAGGCACGAACACGTTTGGTGGTGACTTGCATGTTTTCTGGATGAGCTTGAGCGTCCTAATAAAGAAAACAATGAACTCACTCGGAATTCACAATCTTGAGCTTGACTAGATGAGCAGTTGTCCATATCAGGAACGAGGGAGAGGTGAAACGTCGATGCCATTCGCAGTTCGCATTCATCCCGTTGACTTGTTTTGCGTGATGGACACGATATCGTCAAGTCGCACGCTTGTGGGGTGCAGCCCATATGATTTTTTTATCAAGAGATACCCCAAATTGGAGAATTTTTATAAGGTTTTACGTTACCCTCTTTCTCTGAACAGGATAGCTCAATGAAAGGCACAGGATTGCCTCACCGCACTTGATTACTTCGTTTCTCTATTTGACTTTCTGAGCCAATGTACATTAGTTTGCCCAACACTTGCTTATTAAAACCCGTGATGTACACAGATGTTCTCTATTTCCTCTCTTTCTCTATAGTTTTCCAAATAGGCTGCCACACTGCTTGGTCAAGCTTAGCCCTCCCATGGATGAGATTTTTTTATTTTCTTGATGTTTTTGTAATTCGATGTTGATAGAAAAGCATTTTTATGTCATATGATTTGAAAGTCATTGAAAGTATGTCGGTTCTTTCCTGGACGCCCCCTCTAACCCTGTGAAACTTTTATTAACAAAACATAAACTTCCACGTATATCATACAAAAAACGTAAATGAAGTAAATTGTCCACTAACGCCTAAAAAGACAACCATTTTTATGCCTATTTTAATTTCCATATCAACTCATATGAATACCCCTTTTTCATCACCACTTATTTATTAAACAATTTTTTACCATGATGATATCAAAGAGAACAGTTAAAACAGGCATGCAAATAAATTGAGTTGGATTTTTTGCATACAATTCGATTAAATCCTCAAATCTAAATAGCGCTTAACTGGATTAAATTTTTTGAATTATGACGCAGCCCTTCTTTTTTTTTTCTCATTTCAGCACTAACCTCTTTGAAAGCATTGTCTCTCATAGTTAAGAAACCCCTGACAAACAATTCTAAACATGTTCATTTACTCATAATATTTTCATAAAATCCAACTTTTTTTATTTAAATCCTTTTGAAGACAAAAGTGCCTTCCTATTATTAGAGTACACTTAATCACTAGTAACCAGAGTAGAAATGTCAATCTGTGATACAAGTGAAGTACTTATGGAAACCCATTCAAAACTCATGTATCAGCAAAGAATATATAGCATGAAGGATATCTTGTTGGTTATCATCATGTAAAATGTTAAAGAAAAAACACATAAAATGTCTCTCGTTCAAAAGGAGCATTGTTGTTTGTTTTTTCTCATTTGGTTTCATATAATCTATCCTCTTTAGAAATAATAGTATATGTCTCTATAAAATTCTATGCTAAAATCAGGTCTTAAAAACTTAATTTTAATTCAATTTATTGGGTAAAAAATATTTTTATAATATATTCTCATAAATGATATCATATATTGAACTAAGACATTGCTAGCCATCTATGAAAGGAGCATCCTAGTCTTCATTGCTCAAGCAGCTACATTTAGTAACCAAAATTCTTATAATTTGTCTATATCTGTGTGGAAACTTAGCTTTATTTTTAATGAAATGAACTTACTTATTTTATCCTTTGGGACTAAATTGTTCTGATGATGGTAAAATTTACAAAAGGGAAAATTATAGATGAATTAGATTATGAAGGGTCTAAATTGGAATAGTCTAGAAGAACCTTTAAAACTAAGGAAAACTAAAATTGGGGTAAAGTTCTCATTTTTTATTATAAGATAATGGAATATCAGTGTCACCCTTGAATATGCCCAAATAAGTTGAAGTGATCTAATATATTTTCTTAAATTTATTACATATTTCAAATAAGCTTTATACACAATATAACATGTTTCCCTTTATATTAGTAAAAGAGTATAAAGGTGGTGACAAATATGTTAACATATAAGAGAGATAAAGTGTTAAGCATAATGCAAAAGGGAGAAATAGGGAAAACCAATTTTAAAGACAACCATGGGAAGACAAAATAAACCTTTGGCTAGACCTTTTTGCGTAAAGTTTTCCTTACAATAAAAACCAAGGCTTGATAGAGACATCACAAGCTACACTTGGTAAAAGTGATTTTTTCAAGTAATTCAAACCAACGTCATCAACAACAAATGTAATTTGTGAAATAGGGCTTTGCATTAATCAGTTAGCTAATAACTCAGTATGAGTTATTTCTGAAATGAAAGTCCACACAGCCTACTTTAGACTACAAGAATGCAAATGCAATAATTTATAATTGAGAGGAAATAGGTTCAAAAAAATTATCTGAAGGGTATTAAAGGCATTGGCTGTTGAAGACTCAATTCATTCAAAATGATATCATGAAAATTTCTTTGTATAATGCGAATTTTCTTGAAGAAAAAATTCAGAAATTTTCCATTAAAGATAATATAAATTTTTTCCAATTGATAAAATTACTGGAATTTAAAGAATTAAATCTATATGAAATCATCAAAAAGATATAGTTGAGAAAATTTATGGCATAGTCAAAATTCAACTAAAGAGCACAGAAGAGCATGAGGTCTAGAACCATGCATCAGAACCTCTAAGCCAGTTTGAAAGAAACAAAGTAAATGGGGATGAAAGAATCATACAAAACAAGCTTAAGAGACTAGTATACAATATATATATATATATATATATATAGTTCTTATATGTTTTTGTGTTGAAAGGCAGCCCCATTACTAAATTTATCAAAAACCAACCATCTAATGTCCTAAATGCTCAAACTTATGTAGATGATGTTTTTTTGATAGAACCTATTCTAACATTTAACTGAATGTCAAATGAGTTTAATGAACTAAATTATGTGAAAGATTAAATCACCTTGTATATTATAGTTAAAAATTAAATTCAGGTAACATAATTATGGCTTTAGCAGCCCTAAGTCTTTTGATGATGATCATAGAATATGAAATAATAGATTGATGAAAACTAATTATTTTGAT